GATAATGTTTCTAAATATATTAATAGAAGTAACCTTAATAATATAGATCCGTTAAAAAAGACTGGTATTGTATGCAAAATAGAATGTAACTGTATGAACCCATGTAGTTATATAGGTGAAACTGGAAGGGTATTAGATGTAAGAATAAAGGAACACGAAGCGGCTATCAGATTGAGATATAAAAATTCGCCATGGTACGAACACACGGAAAACAATAAATGTAAAATTAATCGCAATAATATTAAAATTCTACACCATGAAAAGGACATATATAAACGTAAATTTAAAGAACACTTAGAAATTAAGAAAAACCAAAATAATTTAATAAATATTTCTGATGGGATGCAAATAGATTCAAGATGGTACAAAATGATAGAGGGTGCTATATAGTAGTAAAATAATAAAGTTATTGCGATTAATTTAAAAGTGGTATTCTAATGTATTGCTAGTTAGATTGAGTGTTCGTATGCTATTTATATTTTAAAGGTATGTAATATATTGGTTATTGTATACACTTGTTAAGTTTACAGTAATGTCATTATGTATAATGGTTTTTAGAAGAGATGTTATGCAAGCACTTCAAGTGCATTTTAAATGGAAAACAAATGGTTGGTGTTTAGATGTAGTGGTAGCCCATACACAACTTTTACTTTAAGAGTAAGTAAATAGTGATATTCTGTAATGTATTTATGTCATGTATTTGTTACTGTAACTTTTTATTGTTTTTTGAAAAAGTAGCACTGAAGAGGGGTTAGATGAGTATACTAACCCGAAATGCATATGTCATTTTTTAAAGAATAAAAGTGAGTTCCTAACTAAAAGTGCTGTGAGTCTGTCTACCAAAAAACCTTTTGGATTACAGAGACGAATTATATACATGTACACAAAACTTTTTATACTCGAAAAACTAAGCATTTTGCAGTCTGTCACAATGAAAAATTAAATGTTAGAGTAAAAATATTAATTTGCAAATTACTTTGCTATAAATATCACTGAGTACATAATTTTTCATGTAGAAAATATTAAAAAAAAGTTTAATATGTAGAAAAATAAGTCTATACTGCCATTTTACAAACTGCAAAGGATTGTTTCTTTCTCGCCTGTAAAAACACATTACTCCATTCATCCACTGTGAAAATTTGAGCAGTTTTTGACTTTTTCTCAATAACCCCAAAATCTCTATCATCAGGCAAAAATGTCCCAATATTATTTATAGTCAGCCATTTGATCTTTCTTGAATTCTTTAGAATCTGAATCCAAATTAACACAGTTTTGACAAAAATTGTAGTTTTATCTAGTTCCTGTTTCACTATGTTATCATGTGATGAGAATATGAGTCTGGAATTCAACATACTTTAGGAGACAGAATCTACTTTCTGAGAACTTTTAGATGCTGGTCTCATCCCAGATGTATAATACATATTGTTGGTCTCAGTTTCCATATCATGTACTGTACAGTATATGTTTCTCAACTAGTAAGTTTATGCCAATACTTTTAAAAAGGCAGTGTTTTCTAAAGATCAAAAGTAAGTCTGAGGGTACTACATCCTAGCCATATCAACTTTTCCCAAACCTGAAAATCCATTTTTCTGGAGTGCATTTTCAAGATAGTGAGGCTGCCTGTGATGCTTGCAACCCATATTTTTACACTCAGAACAAACACTTCCATTCCTTGAGAATCTATGTATTGCAGCACTGATGGAAAGTATGGACATTTTGGGGGACTATGTTGGAAAGTAATCCTAATTTATTTCTGCCACTGCCAGGTTGGGCTGAGGACTTTTGGTCCATCCCTCATATACAGATTTTGAAAACCAAAATAAAAGTAATTTGATACAATTCTAGAAAAAACTTAAAAGGCATTTTTTGTGAATATTTTGAATATATACATTTCAAAAATACATTTTATTTCCCAACTTTAGCGATTATCCCATCATGAACTATCTATATACATTTCAATGCAAACTGAGAATAAGGCACAGTTTAACATTGCACAATAACATAAATTACTTTTCTATTTATCATTATAATCATTGTTACTTATTAATTTGTTGTAGAGAAGTTCGGGTCATTAGAATGATTAGTGAAAAAACAATCGAAGAAAACATTCTTCGATGTGCTCAAGATAAACTGAAGCTAGAAAGAGATATTACTGCTGATAATGAAGGTAAATAAATTTCTATAAAATTTTAAAAATTAATAACAAATATTAATATTGCTATTTTTGTTTTTTGTAGAAAGTGAAGACCCAGTGAGTGTAGATAAATTATTACGATCTGCCTTAGGACTATAAAAAGATTATGGGGATCATTTGCCATCTATTATAATCACAACTGGGAGGGACCATTCTTATACCATGTTATTATAAACTGTTTTGAAGTTTCAACAAGTTGTACAAGCAAAAGTTTCTCTGGAAAAAAGAAATATTTCAGTGTTTCAATCAATGAAAGGAAGGATCTTTCAGATGAGATATTTTAAAACTTGTGTCTGTCTCATAAGCATGCAAAATTTAATCTTGTACACAAAGTGGTGACAAAATATAATTTATCTAGTATTGTAATTATCGTGAAGGTGGCATGTTTGGTTTGAGTATCATCTAAGGTAGCACTCATCTCAAATAATTCAATGAAGGTTTTATTTTATACTTTAAGAAAAAAATAAATAAATTTTGTCTCAGCACATTTTTTCATAGATACTAATCTAGATTGTCATTAATCTGGTAAAAGATCATTCACTTCTATGTCATCATCAAAACTAATTGCATTGCATTTTTTACTTGTGACTGAAGCGTTATCATTTGTTAGCTGCTTGGCATCTGTAAGAAGTTCTGTTACTCATTGATAGATTTAGTCTAAAATTAACTGTACAATTTGATTTTAGAGAAACATACCATTGATAAAAGTTAATTTCTGTTGAAATTGCTCATACATTTTCATATCCTATAAAATTAACAATTGCATAAATAAGCAGAAAATTAGTTCAAATTTTTAATAATATGAACATTTAGGCTTACTTCATATTTCCAGTTTTCTATCTTTCTTAACTTTGTTACATATTCATCAGCTTCTTCTAATCCTAAATCAGATGATATTCTAGCCAAAAATCTTAAAGCTGTAAGTATAAATTTATCAAATTTACACATATGCATAAATCCTTAATGTATTTGCAAGAATAAAACAAATAAGTTCAATATTCTGTTATTAAAAGTCTACTATTCTCTTCTATGAAGTACAGTTTTGGTAAGATAAAATTTGAATGTATTTTGAAAAATGCATTCTAATTTTTAAACATATTTAATTCTTGCAAATATAATGGGAGGATACTGAAACATTAATTTTAACATACATTCTATATTTTGAGGGAATTTTTCATGAGCATTCCTATAAATTTCTAGAGCTTCATTATAATTTCCATTTCTCCTATGACAACTTGCCATTAGTAAAAGCCATTTGGAATTATTCGATCTGGAATGACAATAACGAGGAATGATTTAAAGAATAGTTTTTTTGATAGAGATATTTTCAACTCACTCAATTCTTGAAGCTTCTCTGAAATATTCTATAGCTTTCTCATAAATCTGAATATCAACATAGTACACTCCCAGCCATCCTAGAATGTCTACGTTGGATGGAAAATAACGATAGGCCTATTTTTTATTAGATTACAAATGATTGATAAGAAACAGCTCACATTTTTTTTTGTTTGTTAATAAACTATAAGTAAATTTATACTTGTTCATAATGATGCAGAGCCTGTTGTCTGTCACCTTCAGCATCATACAAGAAACCAATTCTTGATAACAGTTGGGGTTCGGATGGTACTAGAGAAAGACACTTTTCATACCTAAACATAAAATTTTATTGTAGAATAAAATTTAATTCTTTATAATTAAAATAAATGTAATTACCATTTGATTGCATTATCAAAATTTCCAGTTAACTCATATCTTGACTCAAATTAAGTTCCTTTTTTTTGCTAATTCAAGAATTTTTAATTATTTAAAAAAAAAAAAAAAATGAAATTTGTAAGGCAGTAAATACTATGTTCACTCTTTATTAATCATAAACAATTCACTTTTGAAAAAATTTTAAAAATTAACAAAATAATCTTATTTTCATTATATTGTAGTAATGTGGTGGTGATCATATTTTTACTGTAATTCTGAGATACACCAGAATTACAGTAAAAGAAACAAATAAATATTGAATTATAAATTAAAGTTAAAATAAAGATAAGGTAAATACAGATAACTGAGTAATGCATTTAAAACAAAATTATTTATACTTAAATTGAACTCCTTGAGAAGAATGATGTATTATAACTGTATTAATATTATTATATTTCAAAATAAGAAGTACAGTAATAAGAAAACTGATTATTTTATTATTTATGTTTTTATATAATAAATGTTTGAATCTTTTGTTAAAAATATTAATTTAAATCAACTTGTTGGGGAGAAATGCCATTAACTATTAAATATATGTTTGTGAGGAATTATTACATGGCTGTGACATCCTAATTTTGTCTATTATGGGCAGTTGTAATTAGCAATGTATTGACTATCATGAGTGAAAAATGGAGGATGATTTTCTGACTAATAAATTGTATCTAAATCAGGTTTGAACTCAATCTCCCATGGAATGGGCTGACAACTGATCAACACTGTGTCACTGCTGACACATTCTAGGGTGGAAACTACGAAGATTTCATATTTTCATTTTCGTAAAGTGCAAAAATACAATCCAGTTATCTAAACATTGATTTGGAAAAAGTACACACTCAGACGAGCCAACAATGTACTGTACACAACCGAACCAACTCTGGCAATTGATGGTCTGGCACCATCTTTAATCCAGACAAAAGTACAGCTACCAGAGGGAACTTGAAATTACCGCGGCCGTCAGATTAGTTCTGGGCGGCCACAGATGGCGGTGTGTACAGGCACACTTACATCATTTTCACTACATTTTCTACTGGTAGAGATGAGAGTTGGTGTCAAACACCAGTCCTTATTGATTCAAGATCAAACAGAACTGTTGAAAAAAATGGACTATGGTGTTTCTGTGCTTAAGCTGCTGTTGAATTATTATTACATGTTACCATTTTTAGTCCGGAAATTCGGTAGTGTACCTGTAATAAAAATTTTTTAGAATTGATTTTATACTTCAAACATTTTAAATGAAAAAGCAAAAAATGGAAAAATTGTTTTTTCTACTGTGAATGCTACTAGGATTTAGAATGTTTTTATATACTCGTATGCACTGTACAGATAATAGGTTAACACAATTACTGGTATAAGATTTAAAAAATGTATACATGATTTTTCCCAAAAACATAAAAAGTTGTCATTTAATGTTGGCTATATTGCCAAATGTTAAAGCCAGTTGCGAGGCATGTAATTTGTGGATAATACAGGAGTTGGAACATAGTCCCCCATTCTTTACTCATGCTGGCTGATTTCACTACAATAAAAGCCAAATTAATGGGTTTAGTTGTGTCTAAACAGTCTAAATGTGCTAATGCCTCGTAAATCATTATCATTGACAAAAATTTTTAAATTTTGATATTTATATTGTTCTGTTTAAGTATGGTTTTTATAAATAGAAATTAAAACTATGGGATATATTATTATATTAGACAAAACTGAAGGATACATTTCGCCAATATGATATAGGACTTGTGGATGAATTTGAAGAGTAGCGTGAAATTTATTAAAGCATACAAGAGCATCAGAAAATATTCCAGATTTTTTGTAAGTTAACCCTAAAATAAGATGTAAATCAATTCAAAATAGTATATTTAACACTACTGCTGATTCTAATTACCTAAGTTGTACAGAGCTTCTAAGCAACTAGCATCACGGATGAATGCCGCAGTATAGAAACGTATAGCTTCATTGTAATGTTCTTTAGCCAGTAAGCAATTTCCCTTGTTAACTAAAGCTTTTAAGAAAGAAATGCGTCATTAAAAAGAAATATGTGAATTTAGAATATTTACATACCACCCGAATTATAATGGTTGGCCCTAATGGCTTCGTCTGCATAATATTCAGCATTTTTAATGTCTCCTTGCTGTAAGTAACATTTCAAATGAAACATCTGTATAATATAAATATTAATGAAATAAATTTATAAATTACCAGAAAATATATAAAAGAAAGATTGGTTGCAACTGTTTCAAGTATTCTAGGATCATTAAAAAGCAACTTTAACGTCTCAACAGCCTAAATAAAAATGAAACTGTCATTTATAGATAGATCAAAAGTATTTATCACTGCCAATTCTACCTGAGTGAATTTCCTTTTTTCTAAATACATTACAGCTTTATTAACTTCTAAATCTTTTGCCAGTTCGGAAAAGAAAGATAATTTTAACTGTTCAATACACCTGGAATTCATAATCCAAACAAATTATCAAATTTTAGTCAAATAAAAAATTCGCAAAATTATCAATTGCTAATTGCTATATTGATAATTATATATATATATAATCCATAAAATAATAAATAAATATATATATATTTATTTATGGATTATTTTATTATTATTATTATTATTATCATTATTATTAAATGCTAGTTGAAAGCCTGTGAATTTTATCGAATTAATAAGATGTCATTGAAGAATCGGCCGGCTTTACCATTAGACGAATTAGACGATCGCCTAGGGGCGTCAGTCTTACTCATAAACAAAGAAAAAAATAGATCGTTGGGTTGCAATTTGAAAAATTTGTAGACCTATAAATTCTCACTGTCCTCCATCTGTCTGTTCTTCCTTAATCTCGAGAACAGAGTTAGATACATGAAAGTCAAGATGAGATGTGGAAACCTTATAGACAGGAGGCCCGGCTAGCTATATACGAACTTTCGATGCAAACCAAAAGACACGTTATTTCAATTCAAAAATTTTTCCCTGAAAAGAGTTAGATAGATGACCGGCACGACTCCATTGCCAACAGAAAAGTATGATGTTCAGGGACAAGACACTACAATACTAATCTGAGGTGAAGACGCCATATATTTTAAATTAAAAATTGCAGTCCGGCATTGTGACGATGTCACAGTAAATAAATGTAGTTAATAAAAATTTCTAAAATGATCATAATGATATGTGGATATTTATAAAACAAAAATGTGAGTATGATTTATAAGACAATGTATAGGGGTGCCCAAATTTTCTTTGCCTAGGGGTGTTTGATGCCTGTGAAGAACAATTCGTCACCTATTTCTGGCAATGATTAAGAGGAAGAAAATGTCTTTTACGTTATTTTTACCATATGATTAGGCTAGACGTTTTATAAAAGCAAATCTAGACATTGCTAAACGAAAGAATATCCAGTATCTATCCGTCTACTGTACATATTTTTGATGATAGATAAGAAAAGTATTAGTCTTCCCTTCTCTGTATTGCTAAATACAGAGAAGTATTCCCTTCTCTGTATTCCCTTCTCTGCATGGAGATTTTAAATTAAAATTTAAACTTAACTTTAAATTTTAAATTAAAATTTAAACTTAAACTTAATCTATCATGGAGATTTTAAATTAAAATTTAAAATCTCCATGATAGATTTTAAATTAAAAACGAAACGAAAAGACGTTTATTCAGATATGGGAGTTTTTTTTCGTAAGTTTATGGTAACCGTTAATAATGTAATAGAAAGAATGCATCATATAATGGATAATCCAAAAAATTTTATATTGTTTTTATTGAATGATTCACTAAATCCGAATACTTTTCAATGACTTTTATTAAAACTTTAAACTTAGAAATTAGGGATTTTAATTTAAAATCTCCATGATAGATTTAAATTTAAAGGATATCCCTAATTTCTAAGTTTAAAGTTTTAATAAAAGTCATTCACTAAATCCGAATACTTTTAAATTAATACTCAAAAACAAAAATTCGACATTAATTAAAGTATAAAGCGTTCTGTAATAAAAACTGGCGTTAATCCGTCCAATTACCACTCACTTCTAAATTTGAGAAATTTCAAGTAAAAATAGATAACCCGAAACTACATTTCGTTGGATTAATCATTAATGTATAATTACAAAATCGAAGACGAACGGAAACTTTACCTAAATACAGTATTTTCAAAATTCCGAAAAAAGAGAACGATAATTGTAAAGCGTAGAACATAATGTAATAAAAAAAACTGCAAGGAAAAAAATGGCTGTCTTCCTCTGTCAAAAAGACTTTTTTTTTCTAGAATTTTATGGTAAATTTTCTTATCAGCATAAGGCCATGTTAGCATTTTAACGATAATTTATTTTCCATTTTTTGTTTGCTTTTTATTTTGTTCAAAAGCATCGAAGCAAATTACTATTATAACACACGCGAAAATTACCTCCAACAAAAAATATTTCCGTGAAAGAGAGAATATTTTTTTTATATTCACAAAAACCTAAGAGTACGAGCATTAAAAAATAATTGTATGATTTTATAATTATTAAATATAGAAACGACTTTTTCAGTTTATTTTAAAAAATGATATGCAAACTTAATGTTGACATTCCTAATAAGTTAATTTTAAATATCATCAGGTTATAAATGAAATCATACCATTCATATCCAGTAGAAAAATTCGAAGTTATGACGGGTGCAATTAATTTCGAAGCAATGAGTATGATAGATTCGGCTTCGTGTTTCCTAAAAAATAAAATATTTACATGTTCAGTATAAAATTTTAGCAGTTCACAAATATGATAATTTAATTACTTCTTCTGTTCGAGTTTTGCCAGAGTGTCATTTCGAATGGCTTCTGTTACTAAACAATGATTTTCGCCAATTTCCTGTAAATACGAAACAGAAATTAGGTTTTTGGTAAAGATGATAAGATTTTATTGAAATTATAAAATTTACCACATTAGAAGTACAATTATTCTCGTGACTCATATAACCGAGTTCGATATTGATCAACCGTTGGAAGCAATATTTCATTCCTTTCTGATCTCTGAGAGAATAATAGCAGAGAAGCAAGTTTAAACAAGTCTTGAAATCGGGTTTCTCGTTCATGATATATGCGTATGAGGTTATTGCTTCGGCAAAGAGACCCATTTGAACAAATGTAAGTCCTATATTTTTCATTATTTTTATTCTTATAACAAAGTGAAAAATAATTATCAAATGTTAATAAATAATATTAAACTGCACATATCTATCTATTTACGTGTCTAAGAAGAATGAAATTACAATCTTCTTAAGCAACATGCATCATAAAAATGGAATGTGAACGTATAGAAGATAGAAAGCATCAATTTTGGCAGCACACAAAAGGAGAAAATTGATATAGCGAATAGAAATTATTCATTTATATACACAGTAACACTCTTAAAAGCGATCATTTTAAATAATTATTATTCTAAACACGTGTATTTTTATTTATTAAACTGAATTAATGTAAATAAAAGTAAAAAAAAACAGCATTCCTTTCGATAACGTGGATAGAATTACATAACATAAAATTTTCTCTGATTCTCTTCGATTACTTTAGTGAGGATCATTTTTTTTAAAATTGTCTTTAAAAAGACAAATTTACCTGTTTTATCGATATCGATGTTGCATTGGCCTCCTCTTCTCCCGAGTAACAACATAAACTGTTGTTTCCACTACTTTATGGCTGATCGGATTTTATCTTCAGATACTGGGTAATATATCTTCTATTGTTTATACAGTTGGAATCGAATGATACAAATAGATTTCCTTCATATAATTCTAATTTGTTATCTGTATAATTGTTTAGTGAATTAAATTGGGTGAACATTCTGTAAATTTGATCATTTCTGCGCGTTTTCAGACTTCACGTAATTTGTACATCAGTTAGAAATGCATTTAGATGCGGTTGAAAATTGCAGATGCACTAAATTGTCTAGGATATTGGTTCTTGATTGGAATTATAATTTGATAATTAAATTCTATATTATTCATATTGTATTACACGATGAGAATTATATTGTTTCGTTGTAAACACATAGAAAATTATAAATATTGTATTAAACGTATGCATATTTTTAAAGGAAACATTTTAAAGGAATTTAGAACTTTTTATAAAAGTATTTTGAATATATTTCAATAAATATTTGAAGAATTTGCTTGTATATCTATATGAAAAGTTAGATCGATTATACAATTTACTATAATATTAAACATTATTCTGTATTTTATTTAAAATTTAGCAATTTAGCATATATTTAGCAATTTTTATACAAAATATACAGTAAAATTTCATCCTAATATCAAAAAATGCTAATATTTAAACTGTAAATATTGCTACAAGTTCAGCAAAAATATATTTACTTTAAAAAATCAAATATTTTAAAAATATTGAACTTAAAATAGAAACAAAATTTTCAAATTTAATTTAAATTATGTATCGAATGTTAATAAAATCAACATTGTATTTAAATAATTCTACAAAATTTCACGCATCGATAAAAATTTAACTTTTTAAATTACTTTTTATACAAAGTTATGTTATAAATGTTAATATCTTATAGTTCATTTCAAGTTTACCTTTATTTTGACGTGGCAGTAAGCATGTCTCTGTTATCTGTACAGTTATATTGGGAATAGTTTACTACTGATAGAAATACCAAACCTATAGAAGGATACTTTAGCATCCAAAGACATCTAAACCAGATGGATCTACAGAAACATTAAACAAAGAACAACTTGGCTTTTCAGGAAAAACTGAGCAGATCTAGAGAGAGAGAGGCCAAACAAAGAAGGATACTTTCGCTCTCCAAGAACATCTAAACTGGATAGCTCAACAGAGAGAGACCAGATAAAGAAGAATAGGCCTACTTTGGCTCTCCAGAAACATCTAAACTGGGCAGCTCAACAGAGAGAGATCAGAGAAAGGAGGATACAGGAAATCCTTGTTAATTCGAACTCGGATAGTTCGAAATCCCGTTAGTTCGTAATTGTACTATTTATCCCGGCCGCGGATATAGAGTTTTACATAGTAAAGAATTTGATTAGTTCGAAATACGGCTACTTCGTAATTCGAAGTGAAAATTCTGTCCGAATTGCGATATGCCTATGTTAACTGGTTCGTTTAGATCGAAATACTGTACCTCCATGCTGTAACGATAGACCTAGAACAACTATAATCTGGTCAATATGACTTTGCTTTTACGGTAACACATTTTCGAGTGTTATCTTACATTAGGGCTACCCTTTTTTCTCTTACTTCATAAAATACGCTGGGTTTCGAGATGACAAGATTGAGCTACAAATGGCAGATTGAGATATTTGTAGGACTCTAAGCTATTTTATTTGATATGTTGTAATTGTCAATCTATTTATTTGAATTTTGTGTAAATTATAAGAAAGCCATATTTAAAAGCCCAGTAGTCAAGCTGTTATCTACGACCCTGTTTGTTCTCCAATGATTATCGTCGACCTTGTTTGTTNTATTTTTATTCTTAGGAGGAAAAAAATTTATATAATATATATCATATTTATAATATTGACAAAACGTACGAGAAAACTTAATATACATGAGTAGAGTGAAAAAGAATAGTAACAAACAAGCTTTATTTACAAATGAAATCAACGTTCCTATCTCTCCTGCCAGAGTATTCCAATTATGTGGAAGGTGGCAAATGCTATCGGCAGATTCTTTTTTATTTACAAGTTTTTCATTTATTCATTCATCAAACACCGCATGAGGAAACCGCTGTCTTCATTCCTTGATTTTAGCAGGGTTATTAGGTAAACTGGTGGTTACAGAAATATTCTCTCGTGTTAGGGCGCCACTGTTCCATTCTTTATGGTCTCGTGTGCATTCTGTTCTTTGCATGCTTTCTACTGTAAAATGTTCGAAATACAGTACTAGAAGAAAACTTAGAATTTTACCCAGGGGCGTACAAACGGGGGAGCTCATGGGTCAATGTGCCCACCCAGTTATTTTTCCCGGTCAGAAAAAATAAGGCCAGTCGCAAATTTGGTTTTTTAGGGGGAAATTCCTCTCTGTAATTAGACAATAAATAAAATTAAATCAGCAAGAGATTTTTGTAAAATACAATAGTGTCAGCGAGTAGTTTGAACCAACAAATATTAGAAACAGGTTCTGTTAGGTACCACCAGTTAGTTTGCAAGTATTCCTCTTTCAACAATAGTGTTGCCATTATTTTTCACTCACCCATATATTTTATAATTTTTTCATTTTTACTGTATTATTTCCTCCATCTTTTTTTTCATTTTTGACTGTCTGCTCTGTGGGCGCTAATGTAAGAGACTTTCGTTTGACCCATCGCGCTTTCGGACTGACCAACAATGGAGCCACGTCCATGTAGTGAGACGAGGCCCAACGTATTTTGGACAAATCGCTCATGAAAACTTCCTGGGATTGTTTGCTTGGATTGTGGGCCTAAAGCGCCGCGGCGCACACTGGAAACCCTGCCCTAATACACAAACTTCACTGCAAAATTTCAGAAATTTTCGACAAAAGGCGTAGGAGCTATTAAGCTTTAGAGAGAGTGAACAAAATCGTGCCTTCCGCACATACATTAACATCCATAAATACAAGGAAAAAAACCCGAATTTTTTACATTTCTCGACGTTTGAAGTTTCCCTGAATCCAAAAATGTAAAAATCTGGGGTGGGCAATTTTTGACCGATCACATACTTTTCCTCTGTTATATATAAGAGTCGGGAAAGTAAAATTAATGTGCTAATAATGTAAGAATAAAATAAAATTTTTCAGATGTTTAAATAATAATTGTTATAATGTATAAAAATGGTTTTTCTCACATCTGGTCCTCTTTGAAAATTGTCACCGCACGTCGCTGATATATTAAATTATAAATCACACTACTGTATATTTATCGAATAGAATCACTTATGAAAAAATTTGTTCTTACACATAATTTTAAAGGCTAATATTATCAGTAACACTGAAAGGCAATAAATAATTATTTATTTCAATTATCATCTATTAAGTTAATATTTTATAGCCTTTTTGGTATATTATTAAATTCAATATAAAATCTTTTAATCAATTATTCATTCTGTTTTGAATATTAACGAAATCACAAATTACTTAGTGAAATTGTTAAAGCTTTCGCGACATAGATTAATTTTCCATGACATCATCTTTACTGTAGAAAATTTGAAAGCTTTCCTCAAATACATATTTGTATTTTACATGTATATTCGTATATAAATGTTGCTTTAAATTTTGCCATGCTCCTTGTAAAGAGAATTCAAATAAAATTATAAAATTCAAGTAAAAGTACATAACTTTAAAATTGATTCAAAAAGTTTTCTTACTTTAAACTTTGATAGATAGTTGGAACTTGATCCAACGCCATCCTGTATGATTTGATAGCTTTTGGATAATTATTTTGTTTATAATATATATTTCCGATGTTAACTCTTAAATAAGTGGAATTTGGAGAAGGGACGGTACGGATGAGAAGTCTGTACGTTTTAAGAGCATCCGGATAATTCTCATTTAGCATATACTGATTAGCCAAATTTGACAATACCTGAAAAGTTGTTCCTTGATTAAACGTTGATAAGATTTCGTCGAAAAACAACTATCACTTTCGATACTTACACATTGTGTCAAAACCATATCTTTAGACACGTTTACAATCAGTTGTTCTCTATAACGATCAAGATGTTGGTCTTTCATTGCAGCTTCTTTTGCTTTGTCCAGAGCCTTTTCAATAAATTGAAATGCATAAAATAATTTCAATTTTATGTAATACAGTTAGTAAATGTAATTAATTTTTCTAATACAATATACGAATGATAAAAATTGGTAAATATTAAAATTTCATTAATCAACAAGAATAAAATCCATTCCCTTATGCCAAAATGTCACTATTTTAATTAATACTTTGATGCATTGGCTTAAACAAATAAATTCTGGCATTTATATAGTAAACAAAATAAATATTTTCCACCAGAGTATTAGAACCCAGATAAAATAAATATTTTATCTGGGTTCTAACTACATGAACAAATAGAATTTTGTGTAGTCTATCGTTTCCTATTTAATTAATCTATGTGTGTTTCGTACAAATAACTTATACTAATTCAGATTGACCATACAAAAGCGGAATGGAGGAGCCGCAGTTGATAAATACAGGGCTCTCTCTTATTAAAATTTCGAGAGACATAAAAATAGAGTCAAGAAATACAGATGAGCATTATTAGTGATATTGATTTGGTTGTGTAAAAAATAATACATAAATGTCTCTAAAAAATTTTATTTTCTAATATCTAATAACAATAAATTTTTATTACAATACGATATCAGATTTAATAGTTAGGTTAATGTAGAAGGTCTCCTAGAGTCAAACCAAAAGTATTTTTCAGATGAACTTATTTTATTTACGTCATTTTGTTTAACTTCTGGTCTGGTGATCGCAATTTTATCATAAAACTTATCACATTCAAAGTCGCAGTTTTGTTTTATAATTAGCATTGCTTTCGTGGTTTCAATATTTAATTTCGATCACACAGAATTTATAAGCGAAAATATTCTTTCTAAAGAAACTGTAGTTCCTGAAATACAAAGGATTAAATTATTAAAATCTTGGAATTCGAGATCCTTTTCATGAATTTCATTAAAAATTTTAACCCATCTGTCAGCTACGTTGAGTTTTTCTTCATTCTATTTCTTCAAGTTTATGAGTGTTATTGTCTTCTACTAGCGCCTATTGCTCGAATTGTCGAATTCATCTGTTTCCGTTTATATAATATGCTCCTTAAATTCGTTCAAAATCTATTCTGTAAGCTACATTTTATGCCAGTTCTTCCTCGGCAGTAGTCATTCAAATTTATGACCCGTATCAATAAAGAATAAATATTTTCTAACAAATCACGAGTTCGGAATACAATATATAAACGTGTTTCATATATAAATAGAAAGCTATGTTTTGATTTTCAAAAAACGGGACAAAAGTAAAAATTTTACTAAAACGACGGGACGGCCGAAACGTAACAAGCCAAACGATATTGTCCCGGTCAAAACAGTATGGTCAGCCTATGCTAACTTCATATGAGAAAAAATTGGTCTATCTATCTAATTTTGTTTTCCTGTCTGAAGTTAATTAAACCAGTTATAAATAAATGTTAATTAAATTTTGTCATTTTACAGTAAAATATTTAATTATTCGAATTATAATTGTTATTCCAAATCAAAGCAGAAAAAGAAAATGATATTGCTAAATCTAAGAACTAAAAATATATACATACATATTTTAACTTCGTATAACAGTAAAAAATCTACTTACTGTTTTCAAATCGCCTTCAGCAGAAACTATGCAACTTTCTTCTATTAACTTCTCTATTTCTTTTTCAAGCTGTTTTATGTATTCCTGAGGACTAATAACAAGCGTGAATTTTCGTGTATTAAAAAATTATGAAAGGATATCTGTGCAAATTTCATTACCTTTGCTCATCTTTTACTGCAGAAAAATCCGATTTTCCAAGCTTTAACTGCGACAGCATTGCTAAGAATTATGAAAAATAAATAATACTGTAATATAATCATACGCAAGAGAGTATGAAAAAACGTTGGCTTAAGGGAGCAAAGGAACTGATTTTCCCGAAATTTTATACATATGAAAAACACAAGTACAATTTTGTTTTTAATTTGCTATCAATGATAATTTATTAATGTTCTTGCTTTCTCTGTCTGTTCTTGATATGTTCTCGCTTTTCCCGAATTTTTTCCACAGTTTTGCGTGAATTTGGGAAAGCAGTTGCCCCTGCCCTGACTCGTACTTTTTTGGTAATATCAATCCGAACGAATGCTGATATAATAATAACAAACTAGAGAAAGAAATCTAATAATGCTAGTAGTCTATTACCTTTATTTCGAAATGGAGTAGGCCTATATCCTGCTGCAGTTCTTGGAGTCATAGGTTTAGACAAATTAGTTGTAGGTTCAGAAGGATATTTTCCCATGTTTAACACGGAAGAAGCCATCTGATCTGGGGTCATTGGTCGTATGCCTGTATTCTTATTACTGGAAAATGTCCTGTAATTTATAATAGGGGTCGCTTCCGAAGAAGGCTCGATCCTAAGTGTTGTGGTCTTTAACGGATTTCTTTCATATTCCTATTTAAACAGTATATTAAAATATATTATGTACATAATCTTTCGTACTCGTACAAATAGGAATAATTAGCTATAATTAAATATAGCTTAAATTAAATTAATAATAACTGTAATTAAATACTGTATAGACAATTTTTACTTTATTTTTTCAGAGCAGTAGATCAGAAATTATACAGTATAAAGCTACTAAAATTAATCAAAAGAAATTTGTGGATAATAAATATACTAAAATATTATTTTAATTTACTTGTTCTATTTTAAGTAAATTAATTAATACCAAATTATTTTTTTATAAGCCAATACGTAATCAAAATTTTTTAAGACCAATAAATTTTAATATTTATCTGTTAAAAATATCATTACATTGTAGTTTCTAACACCATTTAAACGAATAATTGTGAAAAATACCGAAAACTTTGCAAGAAATAATTTAAAATGTTCAAAATTTTGAAAAACATTAGTTATAAATTAGCATTTAAATTGCAAATTTAGAGAAAGATTTCGAAAATTTGAGAAAGGATTGCACTATTAAACGAGGTTCCGCATTTATCTCGGGTGAATCTAAATGAATGAACTACTTTTCTTACACTGTAATTCGTAAATGAAAGTTTAAAACGATAATTTAGGTTATTTCAAAATGATTTATTTCTGTTAGCTTTTACCATTTAACATTAATACGAGATAAACCATTCATATTAAAACATAACTATAATAATACACATTTTTATTCTTAAAACTATTGTAAGTACAGTAGAATTTCGTTTTCATGGATCACTGGGACTCAATGGATCAATCCGTTGTATCACGAATAACGGATTTCTAACACGCCCAGGAAAGCATCGGTTATTCGAAAAATTTCCGTTTTTTTAACCTTTACGTATAAGAAAAACCTACCTGTGGTTGGGAAATTTATGTTTTTTTTAAATAAAACAATAATACATGCTTTATTTAGAAACCTTTGTTTTTTTGTTTTAAAACAGTTTTATATTACATTATAAAATACTGTTTTAAAACAATGTTTTAAATTTAAAAAAGAATGTTTTATTACATAAACTTAGTAAATAAACTTTTGCTGACTTGTGAACTAAACGTGAGCATGGGAATGGGAATTTTTCTCACTCTCATGGGTCATAAAAGCACGTGACATGCGGCTTTTATCACTAAGAGGAGATTTCCTGATAGCACATGCCAGTTAATACTGTTAGCAATACAGCTAATGTAATATTACTTGGATGGAAAAAACATTATTATTATTATCGTTACTTCTTAAGTAAAAAATGAATGAGTGCAGAAGAAGGGTTTATAATATCTGGAACCAGTACAAACTAATTTCTGGAAATTCAGGAAAACCGGCATGCAGGTGCAATTCAAAATACAGTATGTAGGAAAGAAAAAATTGGATTAGTCGCTAGTACGAAAAAATGTATTGAAGATAACCATCTACAGGATGATATACAGGAATTGCAACATTTTGAACCATTATAAGTTTAAAAATTTTCTATAGCTTGCTATAAAGTTTTCCTGGGTCATAACTCAATTGAATCTATATAGATAGTATTTAGTTCTTCGCCCGAGTTATCTCCATAGCATTACGAAAAAAAAAAAAAAAAACAGTCCTTTTCCAAAAATGTATTGGCTAATACATATATATTGTTATCTATGATCTATGAAAATTTTATTAATTACTTTTGCAGCGAAAGTTTTTTATGACATTACTTTTATAGTGTTCAAAATGACTTGCAACAACTTGGGATCACTGGAGTCACGCAAGCAGCCAAAGACAGATTTCATATGGCTATCACAGACTACCAACTTTTAGCAAATCTTCTGGACCCAATATACCAGAATGTATATTGGGTCCAGACAGAGCTCACAGACAGTACCGGGCCCCCCTCTCCCACAAGAAATAGAGCGCACAAAAAATATAAAACAATAAATAAAACAAAACTAAATAATATGAAAAACTAAAACAGATCTTAATTTTTTATTAATAAAAAATATTTAATCACTGTAAAAAAGAAATAAAAAATGTAAATTATCGGAAGAATCTTATTTGCAAATCTTTTGCTGCACTAACTCTGTGCCATGCTTACTACCGCTAGTCCGTTTTAAAATACTTACGCATTTTAAAACAGACACTATGTCTTCAGTTTTAAAATATTTGGCAAAATCTAGCCCATTTCTGCAACACATGTTTACAGAGTCTGTGTTAACTAATATCACTCCTCTTATATGGTGGCAATCATTACTTGACAGAATTGATGAACATGTTTTAAAATTAGTTACACAGCTGCACACAGCAGTGGCTTCTTCAGCGGGAATTGAAAGAATTTTCTCTACCTATGGACTTGTTCATTTAAAACTTAAAAATTGACTTGGACAGGAAATGACAGCAAAGCTTGTTAAAGTTTTCAAGCACTTAACAAACACTACTGAGCGTTGTACATTTCTGAAAATAAGAAATTCTTCAAGCTGCAGAAGCCACTGCTGTCAATCCTGTTTTGGTATTTGTACTGTACATGAAAATCTTAAAAATACCATTGTATAAGGAAATATTTAAAAATGCTATATGTTATATTAAATAAAACTTTCTGTACATTCTTGAATCATACACTGAAATTTTTCTGTTCTTTTTTTTCTTTTCCTATTTTACTAGATCAAGTATTTTATTTCCAAAAAAACCATGTTTTTAAATATTTTAAAACATTTATTTTAAAAAAATGTTTTAAATCCGATGCCTATGTTTTAAAGCATGTTTTAATAAATGTTTTAAAACATCTTTTTTAAATCATGCCAACCCTGCCTGTAACTTACTTGAAATTATTCAGTTTCTTAAGAATAAAGAATTCTATTCTTTATTCTATAGAAACACATATGTTACGAGATTGTATATTATGCTGTACTGTACGACAAAGCTGTTCGAAACTGTATGTATTCTAAACACAAAAAAAAGGCAAAGTATGTTCATTAGCACTTTACTTGACTTCACGAGTGCTAAAAACTCGTCCATCTTGATTTGTTTTCATGCCACTTTTCTGCTTATTGAATATAACAACCGCTTAATATTAGCAATGTCATGTAGTATACATTGCTAATATTAGGCGGAAATTCGAAATCTGTTCGTTATGCGACACTCGTCAGGAAGGTCTTTACGACTTGAAAAGACTCGAGAACATCGCTAAATTTCGTCATTACACTTGGACCAGCATCAGAACATTGGGCGACTCCTCCTTAATTGTATCAGCTTGCTGAATCTCTTCGTACAATTCTTCGATTGTACAGAACATATCCCAGATATAACAAGTGCATCATCGAACTCTACAAATTCCTGGAAACAGCCAAATATTAACTAAACATTGAAAAAATACGAAGTTTATAATAGATACGGTTAGAAAAAAATCCGTTATTCCGAATTACGGATACACTAAAAGCGGGTCAAATTGTTAATACATTAATTTGGAGGGACCTGGGGAAAACATTCGTTATTCCGAGAAATTCATTGTTCCCGAGCTGTTAAAATGAGATTCTACTATACATTATATTAGTATATAGTAGAATCTTTATTTGTTAGCTTCATATTACTGTATTTGGAAGAGCTCGAGCAATTCAGTTAATCTCAACCAGTTTGCTAAAATGTTTCCGCAATTTAACGAAAATTCTTATAATTTTTTTAAATGATGCGCTTGTTTCTTGCAATGTTTCCATTAAACGAGGTTTTACTGTAACAGAAACTATGAAGTAAAGACATACGAATAGGCTCTACTGTATTTAAAAAGCGTTCAACATATGTTTAAAGTAGCACATTTAAGTTATGATCACGATCTGTAATAATGTATAATGAACCTATATCAGTTTTTTTCTGGTATACTGGCTGCAAGGACCCGCTTCGCTGGGTTTTTATTTGTTCGTACATTTGTATGTAATATAGTTTTTGTTTTTTATATATAAAAGACTGTTTTTCTAAATAATCTAGAATCTAGCTGCAAGGACCCGCTTCGCTGGGTTTTTATTTGTGGGCAAAAAGTAACGATAGTGAAGATTAAGATTATAGCCAATCTTACCCGTTTTCACAGAATGCAAGAAATAAGTCCTCTGTTTCTAGACTAATTAGAGACCTGGTCCCGATTCTATTTCTGAACGTCTCCTGTTCACGTCCAGTCAAACGAACTATTTTCAACGTTTCTGGAACGTTTACAATCGTTCTATAATCGAACCAATATTCGAATTTTATGTTCGAATTAAATTCGAACAAACTCGAACATTGTTCGAATTAAATTCGGACAAATTCGAACAAATTCGAACATAACATTCGAAATAGAAAACCATTTTCAACCACTTTCAGCCCCATATCTCGCGCACCCTTATAGCTATCGAGACGCAACCCCCATAGTGCACGAATGGAGGCTTGGGGCTACCACCACATACAAACAGCATTCATGTGCGATGTGTAATTTTTGTGGAAAAGTGAAATATAGGGACACACACGTCCATTTTTATATATATAGATATAGATATAGATTTAGGCTTACCAGGTAAAAAATTATAAAAGAACAAATTGTTCCGGAAAGGAGTTGAATTTGTTTCAGTTTGTTTCATTACGGATGTGTTTCAACAGGCTTGAAATAAAAGCATAATAATTTAATGAAATAAATATTTTACTACATAAAGAAATTATCATTCGGAGTTTGTTAATGTTAACATCAAAAAGAGAAAACATTTTTAAAAATCAAAATGAAGACGTATTCAAAATGGAGGCTACGGGTACATCGTTTTTAAAATAAACCTATCGAGATTTTCTACTTGAAATTACAATAAACATAAATTTTGAAATCGTATTATTTGCAAAATGACACGTTTAAATATACAAATAACTTACATTTTTCGTTAAACGATCGTAATCATTGTATCCAGAATACAAATCGTCGTCTTTTGCTGAATGAATATCTTCCATTTTCTTTGACCAAACTAAGAAAAGTCTAAGCGTCCAAATCCATCATGGCGTCATTAGAATTATTATTTTTTTTTTTTTTTAACTTTCCGCTAAATAAATAGCTATTAAATGATATTAAGCAACTGATATTTAATAATATAAATTGAAATCGGCAAACGTACTTGACAAAAAATATTATTATAAAATATTAAAATTGGTGATTGGCAACGTTACATTGATATACGTGATTCGAAAATCAGTGTGTTGATATTTTAGTGTTAGGGACATTACTTTTTCTAATGAAAAATAGATTTTAAATTAGAACTGTTACTATTAACTCAACGAATATTAATATAGAATAATATATTGCTTTTTGTCCTTGATTCTATTTAACACTCAGTCTAAATAAATAGACACATGCACATCCGGGCTTATCACACCAGTGAATGAGATTAATTCACAAATTCTTTAATGAGTTATAACATAAAACTCTACAATAAACTATGGCTCTTTTAACGTGTACATAATAAAGAACACTCAAAATGCATTTCAGACACAATAAATAGTCCCTCTTCAGTTGGTGTTCATACATCAATATACACGACGGCCGGATGGCCGAGCGGTGAAGATGGAGCCTACCGCTCTGGGGAATCCGGAATCGAATCCGGACGGGTCGAAAAATTTCCAGGAATTTTTCGGGGGTGGTCCAACCGGATATATCGATCCCCGTCTCTCACCACCCGGCCGCTCCATTGTGGGTCTGGCCGAACCCATAATGAGCCTGCTACAAGAGACTCTCTTAGTGCCCATAGGGCGAAAAGAGTTTAAACAAAAGTCAATACTGTATACATTATAAAATACATTACCGTTAAAAAACGTTGTAAACATGACGACTTCATAAATATCACAGATGATATCTCATAAGTGTAATGGTTTCACAATCATCTTTTCTTAGTCTTGAAACACTGATACAAATTACCAAAATTACTATTTCTATAATTAAAGTACTATTAATGTAAAGCGAGGGACATATACTCACAATAGAAACTTCGGCTGAATTGACAAAAACATTTTATAACATAAATGAAATACTGCGCAGGTACAACGCACTCTAATTTGTATATTTATTCACTTCAATTGTTACCAACTATTACGTCATTACTTATTAATTTATTTTTTTTATACCATCCTACATCTAATCATACTCCCAAATTGTCATTAATTCTTTACAATCAGTTAAAATACTTTTTAAATTCTTGCAGTGTTTTAATAGCGTTTCTGTTTTTAAATTATATATATTATATAAGAATTGAAAATAGTTGCTACGGTGACTAGTTGTTCAAATCTAGCATCTAATGCATTTAGTGATTGATCCATTGTAAAAACTATCTTATATTTTTCTTTGGGTTCTTCGATCCGTTCATCCCGTGCTTTGTATGAGATTCTTTCTTCTTAAGTGGTGTTGTGGTATTGTTAATTCAAAAGTAGTCTCAGCGTCAATTTCGTCAGCCAGTTCTCTTACATCAACAATAGTTATTATTCAAGGACTTATCCGATCGAAGATCCTTATGAAATTATTTGCAGTTTTGTAAAAGATCAAGTGCAGATGCTAGATCAAAATCTTTTGTTTGCATCAGCTTGCTTATTGGATTAATACAGTTTTTAATATTTATAATAATCTTACAGATAATAATATTTTATACCAAATAACTATTGAACACAAAAACTTAAACAGTTTAATACGATTTTATAAACCCGAAGCTTCGTCTCTTGTTAAATTATCAATTTCCTGGTTTTTATAAATGCTTAGCAAAGTGTCATATACATCTCCCATATGAAAGCGCTTTAAGGCTTCTATCTTACTCTTCCATCTAGTATCAAACTCAATGTTTCAAATTTAATCCGTGAAGATGTTTTAAAAGTATTGCCCATCGAAAAGTAGATGCCGAAAAAATAAATATATTTTTGGACCATATTGAAGAAATTGGCGGCATTCGAGAATACTTTTGTCATATCATTAACCAATAGATTGAGAGAGTGGCTACTACACGCAACGTAGAATGCTCGCGAATTTAAATTTTTAATTCTACATTGTTTGAGGCTCTGGACAGGTCCGAACCCTCACTAAAATTCGCGTTAAAATAATTGTTTTAGAGAAAATAATATATTAGTTAGAAATACATTTTTTATATGAAAACGCGACGCTAACTTTTAAACAATAGAAGAATGTAAGTCCGTCGACCATTTCCGGTTGGAGATCGAATTAAACTTCGATTTTGACCTCTCCCGCGCCCCCGAAAGGTTTCGAATTGTCATCAGGTGACGACGGGAGACCAATCGGAAAGGGGAATCTGAGAGAAAACAGATAAAACCCCGGAAATTCGAGGACGCGACGGCTTCTTCTCCCGAAAGTTCCAAGTGACGGATCTGTTGTTGTGTGTGTGTCTCGCACCCATCTTCGTCTCCATCTCCCGACCTCGGATCGACATCTTTCCATCAACGGAAGTCGACCGCATCGTCCCGGAGTCGTCGAGACGTGATGGAATGGTTCATTCGCGAACAAGGGACACTCCTTCAAAATGGGACTATCTTGGAAAGGAGAGGAAGACCCAGAGGCCGCAGCCGCCGCAGAACTTCCAAGATCGCGGAAATCTTGTAAGCTTCTTTCGTGTTTAATAAACGGTTGTGTTGTTTGTAAACGAAGCATCTATCTCTGACTCAACTGCTTCCACATATCGTTGATTGTTACCGCTCGGCAGTCCAAACGGCAAGGGAGACGATGACGATACATATCACCTATTATCGTTCGTCGCGAGTTTTTAAATCTCCCCCCTCGGCCCCCACAATTGCATCTTGCTCTATCGTCCCTCATAGTGGACCGGTTGTCATATCCCTGCCCTGTAATATCCTGCAAATTTAAATCCAAATCATTAAGTTCTCCAATAATAATTCCAGACATTTGTTTCCCTGTGGACGTTTCAACTGGAGAAAGCCCAAAAAGCTTTCATTAATTTCTATTTCAAACTCATTGGAATGAGATTTATTACTTGAAACATATCTGATTACAGGAGACATTTGCTAACGTCAGGAGAGCAATCTAAAATTATGGAATAGTATTTGCCTTTATTTCAATACAATGGTATTTTATACTTTTATGCAGCAGGTCTATTATCTCGTTTTGTATATTTTTCCCAAAATAGTGAGCTTTAGTCTCCTTTCTCTTGAGCACTCTACTCACGTGTTCTTCCATAGTGAGATCAAATTCAGATAGCAGCTATTTTTAAAAAGTTACCGTTATTAAGCTCAAACAATTTTTCGCTTATACCTTGAAAGCCAGACAATTTTTACAAAACATTTTAATGATTGCTACAATTCTTAGAAGCATCTCGTACCAATGGTTTGTTTCAGCATTAATAATTCTTTGAGCAGCCTCATCGATAGTTTTACAACACTTTAACCTTTTATCTCAGGTTTAACCATGATTTTTGGATCTGAATATGATTTTTAAAAATTTTATGATCTTTTAAAATTTCAACGAGGTGCTTCCAACTTTTAAAACTCTTTTCAAAGAGAACTGATCACACAGCCGAAAATTTTGCAGCAAAAGCAGTATATGTAGTTTTCTGCTATAGAGTACACTAGCCAGTCTCTTACAACTTATTCTTCATTGCAAAAAATTCGCATATAATAATCTGCGCTAAATTTTCGACCAGTGTCAACGGAAGGAAATTTGTAATTATACAATGGCTTAGATGGTCCTTGCCTTACTAAAAATCTTTCGGCATCACCTAAAATTCTTGGCCACAATGCTGGATCTGTACTTAAAGTTCGTAGGGCGCTTTCCGTAGGTGCCAGATTGATGCCAATTTTTATAGTACTTTCATTTATTGGCAGAGTGGTGCCAGTTCCAGTTATCAATAGTTTAGAAATATTGTCCATTTGTCAATATCATCCATTTGTTATCATCACTTTCTGACGTGTTTTCTTTTATAACCAAATTTGATGTTGGATTCTGAGTCGTCTTTTGTCTTGGTACTACCACTGTTTTTATACTCTGTAATAATTCTTTAAAGCGCCAGCTTGTTTTTTTCTTTGAGCTTTCTTTTCCATCCTTCGTCTTTTGTACTGGTAACAAGACAGTTTTCTTTGTCCGTCAAACATTCTGAAATATCTTAAATTAAACAATGTAAAATATAACATAATAATAATAATAATAACTAAAAATAAAGATTTATCCTTCCTAAAAAAAGCTAAAACCGTAAGTATCACACAATATAAGAAATATTTGATTTGATAACGCAAAACGTTGACCAAATAAAGAAATAAATAATTAACAAAATCGGGACTATTTAGACATAGAACCATCCTTTAATTAATTAATTAATTAATTAACAAATAGCAGACGTTGATGTTATTTTATATTTAAGAAATAAAAATTATTTCCTAGACCCTAAAATTACGTCACTTTTATCGACGAGTAAGGGCTGTTTCACACTATGACCGACTGGACAGACTGGCGGTTTAGATTTATCCAATCTACGTCGAAGTTAGAAAATGGCGGAAAGTATAGATTTCCCGGAAGCTTTAATAAACGAAGTCAGAACATATCGGTGACTTTATGATATTCGGCGAGCCGATTATAATGACAACATAAAAAAAAATAATTCCTGGACGGAGATTTTCAAGAAACTAAACGTTGTAGGTATGTGATTGACTAATCTAATAATGACGCGATATATCTAAGTGCATGATCGCTTTCCATGACGGCCATGTTTTCTGTTTTATTTAAAAAACTTACCATGATTGCCTAGTGTATTGATCTATAACACGCGTTTTGATTGGTCCTCATGAGTCGGCCACCGACATATAATCGTACAGTACTTAGTGTGAATGCTTTTACTACTAGTCGGTCCGATTATAAAATCGGTCGGTTCGGTCCAGTCGGTCATAGTGTGAAACAGTCCTAACCCCGTCTTAAACAGACCTCTCGGTAAAAATATTGTTTTTCCCTGTTCTATAAACTTTTATTGCTTAAAACGCATAGAGAATTTAACAAAATATCTTTGAATTTATAATTAAATTAAGAATTAATTAAATTAAATAATAAATTTAGAATAATTTTAAAAAATTGTATCTATCAAACTAAACAGCTTAATATATTTACAGGTGTACAGTACATACAGTAC